TACTCATGCAAAAACTGGAAAGCACGGTATTTTCAGAGACATCTAATGATGACATGAAAATATCATATTGGTAATTTAACTTGTCTAGGATACTATGTCAATCCCATTAATAATTGAATTGACTACAAATCAGGATGACTCAATAGCATTTCATAAGATTCACTTTGATCTTAGTCACTAGGTAGCACACAAACATCGTTAAGTGATTTTTAGAGGTTTCAGTTAATTTCAATCATACATAAGCTATTTTTATAATTGCTAGTGAGTCATTATCAGCTATTACTACTATAACTGACAGTAACTTATACCATTACTGTGTTTATATGAGACGCAAATAATGAATAGTATGAACGTAGTAAGAAATCACAGTAGTGCACCACATGAATTTTGAATGAGAGAGAGATACATTAAAACTAAGTTAATTCTTATTCATTTAAAAGTTCATTCTTTAACCAATCACACACACAATCTAATTATACTCAATATAGATTACTTATTATATTGATCTGCATATTTAATTAAGTTTACGGTTTATTCAAGGTAAGTTGATAAGGTAGCACACTCTGGTATTTTGTTAAATTCAATTTAACAAAATACCAACGTTCTATCACTTTGTTTTAAAACTATTAATTATTATTTATAAAATCTTTCAGATAAATAATTAATGGTGTATGATATTTAGTGTTATTTAAGGGAAGTCCAGTATTCAAAACATACAATTGGGCTCTTTTATGTGTCAGCTATATTTAGATTAACTGTTTTCTCTAATATAAAAACATATATCAAGAATATTCTGTTGAGTTAATTTTGAACTTGTTTGGATAAAAATAGAATCGTCCAGTGCCTAGTTGGGGTTCGCGAAATCGTTGTAACCAATGGCTGAATGCATTGGGTGAAATGGCTTAGAATTTGCTGCAATTGCATAGACGGATTCTATCTTTGTCTAAATATGCGTATATGCCTTCTTCTAGAGTTATGTTATTTATGACTGATCTTTTCTACTACTAATCTTGGATTGACAAAGATAATTTTATTTCGCTTTGGTGTTGTAATGTGGTATTTTGAGTCGATGCATATATGAGCGAGGTTTTACATTGCTCATGACTGACTACTATAAACTGTTTCAATCAGTCAGTCAGTCAGCTACAACGTAGGACCAGGCAAATATATGCATCGGTCCAAGTTGCCATACCTCGTTAGCACAACAAGAGGAACACCGGATTCATAGTAGTTAATTTAGTGTTGGTAGTAGTATATAAATTATAGGTTGTATATAAGGATACAGTACAGGAAGGAAGAGAGATATGAAGCAATTTTAGTCTCAAGGTTTAAGGGAAGATAAAGAGTGTATACACCTACGCCATTGTGATCGATTCTGAGCCATGTCACCCAGAGTCTCCAACCATTGGTTACGATAGTCACGCGGACCCCAACCGGGTAGTCTGCATCTACCAACATGGCTCAGACTAGAAGTTAGTGACTTCAAACACTGATGCCATGTTTTGGTTTGGCCGCCCCTAACTCTCTTCCAACAATCCCCAGTACTAGTCATCAGAGCGCGTCGTGGTAATCGGTGTTCAGGCATACGTAACACATGGCCCAACCATCTCAGTTGATGAAGATTCATCACCTCATCAACTGATTTACCATCGTTACCTAATACCCTGCGTCTAACCTCACTATTACTTACCCGGTTATCCCAGCATATGCGAGCAATATTTCTAAGGCATATGTGGTTAAATACTAGTAACCTACGAGTATCTTCTACTCTTAATGGCCATGTTTCACAGCCGTAAAGTAGAACAGAGCGAACTGATGCGCAGTATACTCGTCCCTTAATTGATAGACGGATATCTCGTCTTCGCCATAGGTGACGTAAGTTGGCAAAAGCCAAACGAGCCTTCTGAATCCGTGCTGAGATTTCGTCAGACACCAACCCATTAGGGCTGATCAGACTCCCAAGATAAGTGAAGTTGTCCACGCGTTCGACTACTTCACTCCCTATCCTTAGTTCGGGTGTTGACACAGGCCAGTCCTGGAGTAACAATTTACATTTGGATGGGGAGAAACGCATCCCAAACATCCTGGCATTATTACTGAGTTCTAACAGAAGACTCTGCATTTTGCTAGCGTCTTCATCAAACAGGACTATGTCATCTGCGTATCCTAAGTCGCTTAGTGGTCCCCCTGGTAGGAGATCAATTCCTGTAGATTCAGTCGAAGAGAGTGTGATTTCCAGCAACAGATCTATAATGAAGTTAAACAAAAATGGGGATAGTGGACAGCCTTGACGGACACCACTTGAGGTTGTAAAATCATATGACAGTTCGCCATAAACTCTCACTCGACTGGTAGTGTTCGAGTAAAGAGCCTTCACAAGGTTTATGTATTTCTCAGGTACACCTTTCAATGACAGACACTGCCACAGAACCTCTCGGTCTACAGAGTCAAATGCTGCTTTCAAGTCAAGAAAAACTACCATTGTCGGAAGCCGATAAGCGTGTCTGTGCTCTAAAACTTGACGAATGGTGAATATGTGGTCGATACAGCCACGACCAGGTCTGAAGCCAGCCTGATTTTCTCGTGTTTGCAGTTCACGAGTCTTAGTTAGGCGCCCGATAATTATTGAGGCTAGTATTTTAGATGCTATGTTAGTCAGACTAATCCCTCTATGGTTATCACAGGATGATTTTGACCCCTTTTTATAAATTGGGACAATCAGTGATCGTGACCAGTCGGATGGGATTACATCTGTTTCCCAGATTTTAGCCAGAATATTAGTCAACCTAATCGCTAAAATTGGACCACCATATTTAAAGACCTCTAGAGCCAATCCATCAGGACCAGCTGCTCTCCCTCGTTTCAGACTACTTATAGACTTTTGAACTTCAAGTAGGGTCGGAGGGCCTACTTCAATGTTCCATTCAGGTTTTCTAGGAATAGTGGGTAGTTGTGCAGTAGCTGAAGGCCAGCTAAACTGCTCCTTAAAGTGTTCCGCCCATCGTTCTAAACGTTTGGGTTGAGAGCAGATAAGTGTTCCGTCTTTTTCGGAGATTGTCTCACTTACACTTGACTTCTTAATTCCGGTTTCTTTTATTAGTCTGAATAGTTGCCTGGTGTTCACTATAGCTGCTGCCTTTTCCATCTCTTTTGCTTTCGTTGCCCACCACTGCTCACGATCGTTCCTTAGACTTCTAGTTAACCTAGATCTAATTTCTTTACGCTCTTCGTCATGTTCAGAACCCGATGGGATGAGTTTACGCGAATCCATCAGTGAAATAGACTTAGAATTAATCCACTGGTTTTTTGGAGCCCTATGGTTTAAATTACTAATAGATGTGACTGCTGTTTGTATGTCTTTCCAAGCAGCATCTGGGTCAGTCTCGTTTACAGAACTGTCTAGATATGAACTCAGTTGTTTCTGGAATTCGCATTTGGCTTTCTCGTCCTCCAGTTCAATCCTAATGGGTCTTCTTAGTGTACTTTTCCTGCGACCATTGAGGCCCAGACAAATGCGTGCTCGTATTAAAGCGTGATCAGAGTCTAAACAAGTATTCCAATACGAGCGACAATCTTCTATTGAGCCTCTCCAACGATGACTGATGACAATATGGTCTATTTGAGTCCATCGTTGGTTTGGTGGAGGTGGTCGCCATGTTAGACGATGTCTCTCCTTATGTTTAAAATTAGTGCTTGCTAAAAATAAACGATTGTCTGAGCATAGTTGCAACAGACGATCACCATTATCGGTTCGTTGAGCCGGAATACTAAAACACCCACCTAAATGTCTTTCTGTTTGATTTAAGCTGCCTACCTGGGCACTAAAGTCACCTGCTACGACTACTATGTCTGAGCGCTTAGCTTTCTGAAGAAGCTCAGAGAGCTTTCTGTAAAAGTCATCTTTCACTTCATCATGGCTGCAGTCAGTGGGAGCGTAGGCAGAAACGACGAAAAGGCAACGACGTGTGTCCCTATCCTTCCGAGTTCTTACGGAGCTATTTAGCCGGACAGCACACAGGCGACTGTTATAGGGGATCCATTCTAGTAGTGCCTGTTTTGCCCTTGTACTTAGTGCTATGCCTACACCTGCAAGTCCGCGAGAACTAGCCAACGGGTCGCCAGATACACGGAGGGTGTATTTCGTTGGTTGTCCATTTTGGCGAGGTGAGGTCAAGTGAATGACCACACTGGGATCCTGTATGCGTGTTTCGGAGACACAGCATACATCAATGGTACGAGATTCTAGGGTTTTAGCTAAGGAGGCCTGTTGACCGATTTGGCATAGGGTACGTACGTTGAAGGCTCCAATGTGTAGTTTGGAGCGAGGTTTAAGTAGACCTGGGACAGCGTTTCGCGCACTAGAATCGTTGGTCATGGTGACACGTGAGGAGGAAACCGAGAGAGAGGAAGTTTAGTGTTGAAAGTCAAGGTAGAAGGAATTGAAGAAAGAGATTGATTATGAATACAGTGGTCTTGAGTGCTGTTAGAGGTATGAGGGCAGTTATCACTTCCCGGTTGCCCACACCGTGGAAGGGTTCTTCTAGAGGTACCTGAAAAGGAAATTAGGTTAGAAGTGGTCTTAATGACCTGAGAGTGTGACCGTAGTGCCCAAGGGACCAACTGCTTGAGGCCAATCACACACGACCTTTTTGTGGGGGATTTTCGAAGTGTTAGCTCCGTTCTTCAAAAAAAACCTTACGCCGGAGACGGATATCCGTGGGATAAGGCGAGGTGTGCATTTTTAGGGTCGACCTTTTCTAACCCCACCCCTCCTTGTGGGAAGGCAGCATCGCCGTCATGCTGGTTGTCTGAAGGTAACACCTTACTGCTGTCACGCCTCTGTACAGTCAGCAGTACGACTTCGGACCTTGGGTTTGCTGCTTTTAGTCTTACCGCTCTTCAACCGACCTGTCTGGCATGGTAGGACCTTGAGGAACGATTGTTCCAGCCAGTATAGCTCGATTGGATCATCACGATAGGCAAGCCCGACCACCACGTCAAGGTAGCAGCAACGGTCGGGTTTCAGGAAATGTCTTCCTGGAATGAACTACATATTATTTGGTGTAACATGAAATCGTCGAATTTTAAGAACAACGTATTGTATTTACGTGTAGAGCTATTTTTCCGTAACCTAGATATTCGAATTTCAAGAATAATTTCGCAGACACCGATTTTCTTACCAGTATTAGCAGCTCCACAGTATTTACAGGATTTGTACATATGAAAGCGTACTAGACAATTTTTACATGGTCATTGATATTTCTAATACAAAACAATGAATTATACGTGAGAAAGACACGACCAGCATATTTTTCAACTTGGAAAAAATCCGAAGAAGCATAAATATCTCTACCATTTCATGAACATCAACATCAGACCTGTAGGTGTGCAGATCAATAATTTGAGATCTTACTAGTTTGATTTACATCCAAAATACATATCAATCAGAACCCTTCTATTAGTAAACCGCTCCAGTCAACATTAAATGCCGAGGAAACCAGTACGTAAGAAGGTGTAATCTTATTAACCAATGATACTCCTCTAGTGGTTTCCTATTCAGGGACGAGTTAAACTTTCAACAGTCTAATTACAAAGCTCAACTCTGAGATATGATATTGAAAATGGTTTAACTTGATGAATGAGGATTTCACTGACTATTAATGCTCTTCGTATCGATCCTGAAATATGACACGAAAATCAAATTCAAAATTGAAGGATGACATAAAAACTATGACTTAATGAAGGGGACAAAAGTACTTGAGTTCACAACAAAATGTCATTTGTAAAATAACTTAGTGTTATGTAATTCACTCAAAAGAAAAGATTCAGTGCATTTTAAGATATATTTCTTGGTAATTTTCATCAAGGCACAAATAGGAGCAAGCAATAAGTAGAGTAAAAATGGAATGTAAAAAAGAAATACAACAGATAAGCAAAAATGAATGTATACGTGTATATATATATTGGAAAGTTAGAAAGTGTGATGAGTATAAAATTCAATTTGCTGTCAGTTATATAGAGGATTAGTTGATAATAAAATTAAGTTTGATTCGTTTGACCTTCTTCTTCTTCTTGACCATGCATAATCATTCGTGTAAATTCTTTATAATCGAAATTCCCATCTTGAATCGGTGCACCATGGAATAATTCATCAACTTTCTCATTAGACCATCTATCCCCCATTGTAGTCATTAATTCACGTAAACGTTTTTCATTTATTACACCTACAAATGAATAGAATAAACACATAACTAGCATTTAATTTAAGTGGCAATAATAATGTAAAAACTATGATTTTCGACAAACATGCAACCTGAGTTTGACCAATTTATTATTAGTTGGTTCGTGGCAATATATTTAGTTTAATATGATATAACAATCAATTAATTTACCGGTACTTGAGTATGAACGACACTACGTGTGAGAGCTAGTCATACTAGGCGGTTTTCCAAACGGATGTGAGAAGATTAAGGTCCGGACATACAACATTGTAGGTGAGAGTTGAACGCTTTAATTACGAACCCACTGTTTCAACAAAACTGTACTGTTACCTCCGAAAATGTTACACTTGTTTCTTGTTGAACGTTTCCTATCAGCTACACGTATACCTAAGATTGTAACACATATCTATAAGTTCAAAAGAACTAGATGACAATGTAGACGAAGAGGATGACGCAAATAAACTTGAAAACGTGTATCAATATTAGAGCTGTAACTACAAACTTCGAAGGATTAATGTAAATGGTCTGTAAATGTTATGAAAATTCGCGTTTATTCTGTAGTTGGAGCACACACACAATTGTCTGATTTCCATTGTCCCGTGTGAGAATAAATCATTCAATGGTAATACAACAGTTTATTCTTGAAACACCTTATATTTAAATGATAAATTGTAGTATTATATTTCATTTACTAGCAACTTTTAAACCTCTTTAACGCGACAAATATGAAAATTCTTACGCAAAAAACTGAACGGTTGTTTGAGGACAGAATATCGACTTTGAGAATTTGAAATGTACATAATAAGGGGAAATAACAACAAGGTTTGGTTAAAGGTCCTTTGCAATGGCTGAGAACTTATTTTTTTATTTCTTTGAAATCGCTCAATAATTTTTAATTATACCTTCATTTTGTATCAATCGTTTATAATCTTATTTTGTAAAGTAGAGATATCAAATAGTTAACATGCGTAAACTAATTTATATTCAGTTTCCTGATATTAATTTGCTCTCATCAAAAAGGATGATGAATATCCTTTCCACAAATTATGAGGAATTCATAAAAATAAGATATCCGCCTGCGAGAAGCTTAAGTAACAAACATGTAGTTCCACGGGTTAGATAATGGAACTCATCTGTATCATCCGAGATCAGGATAAATAACATTTAGGCAACGTGCCTGAATGTTGTTCTTTGCTGGTACGATCTTAGAATATGCCTAGTACCACGTATTAGCCCGGAGGAAAAACTTTTACTAAGTCGACAAACTAGTTATTCGAACTAACACATAAACGAAGTTTGAGTTAATGAACCATATATCTAGGCTAACTGTCAAAACCTTGAAAAGATGACAGAAGAATCAAGCGCCTAGGTGGCTTTAAACGAATATCATAGAAAGTTGACTCAAGATCTGTGGTCAGCAAATTAGTCAGTTACATGGAAGTACTTTTACGAATAGCGTGGAAGAATTTTGTTAAAACCGACAATGTGTGGCAAAATAACGCATGAAGAGGAAGTCTATATTTGGAAGGGGATTCGGGTATGGGTTAGGTATAAGCCTTCTAGTTATCGAATTTGTATTCCACTTACATGGAGACAGACCAAATTCCAAAAAAATACTTTAATACTGTTTTACTAGTAGCCATTTACGTTAATTATTTCTAAATGTGGACAGACGAACTAATCTAAACTTATTGAGTTATTATATACACATAACCTTAAGCGTTTTCATATGTGAGTATCTGTTTACTGTATTCAACTTATCTTTACCTGTCTCTACAGATCCTCAATAACATTTTCTAAAACTGAGTAAGCTGGAAAGCTTTTCTCTGCACTGTATCTCTTATGGTCAACATGCAACGTCTGTATGAACTATACCGATCCAAAATAAAAGTATTTCTCCTTTTAACATACCGCTGTTCTAAACGTGTTAATTAGACAGAATATATACGAAGATAGGTAAGATGTATGTTTTACTAACAGCATTATCATTTAATCAAACCGACACTAAACATGCTATACATGATTGTAAACAGAAAATATACACTTCTTGGCCTTTAGACCATTTCAACTTTTTGCACTATGCATTAAAGAGCACTATATAAAGAAGCCTTATTAGAAATATTCTTCTGAAACGAAGTGATGGTTTTATTACGTGATTGCAAAAAAGAAGAGTATACAACTTTTGACAATTCTCTAAATGATATGAAATATTAATTTCGTGAAACAAGGGGATAGATATAAGTTTATTACACATACCTGTCCCCTCAGGGTCGAAACAAGCAAAGGCATTTAAAATCGTTTCTTCCGGATCACACCCCATCATTTTCTCACCAAATAATGTTAAAAACATTGTGAAATTTATTTGACCAGGTGCTTGTGAAAGCATATCGTTTAAATATTCATCACTTGGTGATTTTCCCAAGGAAATAAAAATATCTTCTAAGTCATGTTTATCAATGACACCATCTTTAGTTGAATCAATCATTAGGAACGCTTCCTGTTTAAAAGATTAAGGCGAACAATAATACACTAACAGTGCTGTAAACAGTAGTTTAAAAGCTTTTGAAGAACTCTATTTTATAGCCGTATACCTACAAAAGTATCTGTAGAATTTTGTCAACGATAATCATGTGAAACCTTTGATATTGACTTGGATTACTATGGTTAAGCTGTGTGTTAAGATGTGGTTTATGATTAGTATACGGAAAACAGCAGTAACCTATGGTTAAGGACTTTAAATATCATGGATGGAAAGTGGTGTTAGTGATGATGATTTTACAAAAAAAAACGACTCCAACGTAAACGTACTACTTAGAAATCTTCGGTGACATGTTTTCTCTACATATGGGGAGAAATCATGGTGAAGATTCAGCAGTGAAAAGCATACTTTTTTAGTCGCAAGCTTTTAGATGCTAAAGTGATAAACGCTGATTGTCCGTATTTGTTAGGTTTCTTTTTCAGAAGTAAACCCTGTCGCAAATGTAGTTATTGAACTTAAATCCTATCAAAAAATTGTGACAGTGATCTGCTGATATGATAGAAGTTTATGAAATAAGCTAATGCATGGATTTTACCAACAAAAAGAACAATTTTTCAAGAATTCGAAAAACAACATGCTGGATATTACTTTAATTTAGGTTATAAACCCACCTTGAATTCGCTAATTTGAGCTTCATTAAACATGGAAAAGACATTCGAAGTGAACCGCTGAGTGCGGGTGCGGGCTCTACGCTTAGTTTTCGTGCAAGCCATCTTGTTTATTTAAAATACCGCCTGTGCCAAGGAATTAAGAAAGCCGCCATGATATTTTCACCATTTAAAAGCTCATAGAGAAAGTCCAACATGAATAAATGCTAGTTGCTTATAAAGCGGGTTAGGACTACTTTATGATATAAAATAAAGCAAATGTAAACGAACATACTTGCAAAAAATGTGCATAGAAAATTTCTTAAGAAACTTTAATTTTATTAGCTGTAAATCATTCCCCAAAATCAATAGCCACGTAAGTGTTCGACAATGGATTCTGATCACATTAGTTGTAGTGGTCTCGTCTAGCTGAAAACGCTCGGTCATGCATCCGTGCCAGATCACGTTACAGCGTGGGAAACATCTCCTACGATCACTACCCACATTAGATCAGTCATTTCTCGGTATATTGTTAATCCACCAAATATATCTTTCGACCTCTTCGCTTCTGACTTCTGATTCTAACTGAGTGTGCACGATTCGATTTTAGGTGTTACCAGTAAAGAGTTGTCAAACTACAATACTGGTGGTATTTTCAATGGTGAGATCGACGTGATCTGGTACACCAAACGATAAACTGTGATTCTGTTCCTTTTTGGAACTTCATTAATCATTATTTTTTTGCTTTGTTTGATTTTTATATATTGTGTTATATTTTTTCGACTTTTCGAATATGTTTTAGTTATTTATTTTTCGCTCATTATAACACTTGATTTTTCACTATGACGGAGCAGACACCCCAATATTTATGTTAAAATCTATCTCCCCACCATCGTTTCAGCTAATGCTTTTACGCCCGGACAATATCGAGTGCTGGTTCTGCTACGCAGAAGCTGACTTTTACGGGCACGGCATTACGGACTCACACACACAGTTCCTCGCTGTTGTTAAGACACATCCGCGCGAATTTAACAGGTATGTAACACCTAGTAAGTTTACTAGTGATGTTTCGGAACCTTATGAAACTCTTAAACGATCGATTCCGAGATGCGGAGATCTAACGGAGCAAGAAAGGTTAGACCAACTCCTTAATAACATCGACTTGCAACGGGGTTCTGCGACAGATGAGAGAGGCGATAGGTCAAATAACTTTCGATGAAGGTATATTCAGACAGCTTTCTTATCTAAACTCCCGCAACAGGACAAGCAGTTCCCGTCTCGTTTCAAAACAACGCCGTAGACGAAGTGGCTGCATCTGCTGAACGCATCATATAAATCACGAAATCTACTAATTCCTAGTTTTTTTCAGTCAAAGAAAAACCTCAGACGACTCAGAATGACATCACAGAACTATGCCATACACTTGTAGTATCGTTTGACATGTTAAGCCCATATACTTTATTCTAGCTTCCGGCAAAGCCAATTCATCTATACATTATGAGTCACATTTTGATCTTGTTAATTATTCGCTTATTAACCTTGACCACTATTTCATATGAGCTTATGTGTATGCACACTTCGTATCTTATTCATCATATGTCTGTCATTCATTATCGTCTGACTATTAATATTGAGTAATGGATGCTCATAGAGAGTTGGCTTACCCGCCATCTCCAATTCGCATAATTTTTTTCGCTCAGTGATATTTACACATGTGCTTATAACTTTCTGGCCTGCGTCATTTGTCAATATAACGCTTACTGAGGTGAACGATCAGCGAAGCACGGCACTACATAATTGGTGAGCCCGACGTGATTCGGACACGCAGGACGGCACTACACACTGACAGGCTATTTTCGATTTCGTAATGGCCGTAAACGGTCACAAACCCCGCGAAGAAGCGTTTCACGTAGGCGATCTGTCTCTAGATCACGAGAGACGGATAACCCCGATTGGTGCTGGTATCGTGACCAGTATGGGAAGTCTTCTAGAAATCGCAGGAAACCCTGCAATTACCAGAACTACAAGTGAACTGATACGAAAACAACTCGTGGAACTTCCCAGCCGACACGTGTTAACGGCAACCGTCGCCGGCGAACATAGCCGCTTTTGATACGTCATGGACGTGACGACGTAAGTTCGCTACCTCGTCAACACTTGCACAGAAGTTAACGTTCTACCTGCGAATTCTAACGACAGGGTTCACGAGTCTGTTTTAAGCCTACAGGCGGCTAATGGAAAACCGATCGCTACGTATGGTAAAAGGTACGTTTACCTTAACGTGGTTTTACGCAAATCCATACACTGGATTTTCTTTGTTTCTATGCCAATCATTGTTATAGACCTGCTATAATACCACAATCTACTAATCGACACGCGGAAACAAAGGTTTATAGACGGAAACACTAAGTTATCTGTTTGCGTAACTCCTCTTTCTGGTTGAAGATTATCCCCAGTCACAATTAAGCACCCAATAGACCCGATAAATCAACCATCACTGTATAGGTACTCTGGGATATATCAACGTCAACCGAAATGGCCGTGTGTAACCAGCAACGTTTAACATCATCCTAAAAAATACAGCAATGATTGGCGTCCAACTGGTGATTATCAGTGTCTGAATGCTAAAACCATTCTCGATCGTTACCCCTTGCCCTACATTCACGATTTGACAGCTGCTTTGGAAGTTACAACTGTGTTTCCGAAAATCGACTTGGTTAAAGCCTATAACCAAATTCCTATGGCTACTGACGACATTCGAAAAACCGCTATCATCACTCCCTTCGTCCTCTAAGAATTTTTTCGAATGCCCTTTGATCAAAGAAACGCTGCCCGAACCTTCCAACCTTTGATCGACGACGTTTTTTGAGGTCTCAACACCGTACATTTGTATGTCGATGACTGTCTGATAGCAAGTCCGGACAGAGAATCCCAACTCCAGCATCTGGACATTGTGTTCGAACGACTTCAATGGCATGGCGTTACTGCGAACATTCAGAAATGTCAAATCGGGAGCAACTACTTAGATTTCCTAGGACACACTATTGATGCTCGAGGCATCCGACCTTTGAGAAGCAAAGTGGCGGTGATTGTGAACTACCCAGAACCGATCACGATTAAGCAGTTGCGCACATTTGACGGTTTTGTAAGTTTCTATAGACAGTTCATACAGAAGGTTAATGTACAAAAACACTCAGTTATCTGTTTGCTTAACTCCTTTTTCTGGTTGCAAATTATCCTCAGTCACAATTAAGCACACAATAGACCCGGGAAATCAACGTTTACATGATAATTACTTGAATCTTTCGAGGCGGGATCATGGATGCGCACTGCTAAGGAGTCCCGCAGTGGGATGAAACGGTCGTCCAGTGCTTCCAGGTTTTCCATGGTGGTCTTGACTCATGATCCTAACTATATAAACATTACCAAATCAAAAGTGTCTGAGTGTTTGAGATGCTACAATCGGGAGTAGCAAGCCTTGAATTAGTAGTGAATAAAACAAATTTAATCTTATAACAAAAGAAATACAAATTTAGCTAATCTCGTTATACAATGGTTATACAACAAGGATATATGTGACAGTGGACTAAAGATGCCACAAGTATGCACAGTTTGACAACGCCTTAACCAGTAACACCTTAATAATCGAGGTATAATAACTTAGGTCAGAAGTCGAAAATGAAGGAATTCGAAGATACATTTGGAAGGCTGTCGATATATCTAAGGGACATTTAGTTTAAGCCCTCTATTAGTTGAAAGGGATGCACGGAGTACCCACTCGTGAGGTGGTGCGGATGCGTGGCCGAGCACCTTCAGCTAGGTGAGTCCGGTAAAACTAATACAGTAAGCATCAAATGACGAAGGCTTAGAGAGCTGTTGATTTTGAGGATTATTTTGCTACTATAAGTCTATAGATATTTTCGATAAGCAACCATCCGTTTATTCTTCTTCGGAAACACCAGTGTCTTCTTTTCATTGAATTTCTTTTCAGAACTGGGTATGATAATCAGAAGTATTTGAATTGTAGTATAAACTAGTAATTCCAGGAATAACTCAATGTAATCAAGAAGTATTAGATGAGCCCGAACGAATGTATTGTATTTGGAATTCAAAATCACAACAGTCATCAATCCAAAGAAGTCATTGATTTATTTTAACATCACATCCGCCAAAGCTCGAATCGGAGTGTAAGTGTCTGTAATGGATTGTTCGTCTTCTTCCTAAGTTCATCTTACATCTGTCCGACGGTGTATTGGATGTAGACTCTGTATTATCTAGAATGCACTCATTAGTATTGGAATTAACAACCGAAATTAGAACAGACTCACCTGGGTTCTGGAATTGTATATAATAGGCATGTCGGTTTTGTAGTGAAACCATTGATATTTAGAATTTGCATCATAGACTTTCCAACAATATCCTCCTCCACGAAATAATGTTGGATCCTTACGTCGCAATGTTTAAGCCAATATGAATTTCCTAATTTGCATTATCTTCTCAAGTCTCACGCATCGACTACTGTATGTGAGTATTTGGGGATAAACACTGATATAATTCCATCATGTGACTTTGACTCGAATAAAAATTATGATACATATTCTTTTTGTTATTCATATTAGAATACACAGATGGATATGCATTGATATATGTAATTAACACATGTGATTCAACTAAGCTCGATTTAGCTGCGAAACAATCGAATAGAAAACATTCATATGCCTCATATTCATTAGGATTATCTTGGACTTGATTTGGATTCTTTGTCTGTGCAAACTTCACTTCTGGGCAAACTGGTTCTCTGGTTATTTCGGTAAATTTTGCTATCCCCTTCTGATTCATTATGCCCCTGACTAGGGGTTCTATTCAACATAGATTATTCGTGAGAGTATCCAACATTTGACACAACAACATCAGAAATATGACTAGAATTCGACTCATTCAGAACATATTTTTCACATTCATTAGGAATATCATTAGAGATAAATTGATTGTGGGGAGGACTGACACTTGATATGATATCAGAATTCGACTCTTCTGAAATATTTTCCTCAAATAGATTAAGAGTTTCATTAGATAATGGATCATCAGGGAATTCAGCATCTACCATGACTGAATTCGGTTTTTGA